GCACCCAAAATAATGCTTCTGAGGCTTAAATATATTTACAAAAGCCTAGGCCAGTATAGCTAGGCATGTTCCCTGACTTGCTCATAACTAATATCCCAGTTATTCTATTCTTAGTTCTGCTCTGTTTCATACCTTCATCTTCAGAATCTCCCAAGCAAATCTCCAGCCTCTATCCCCCACCCCCATTCCAGCACTCCTACTTTCTGCTTTTTTATTGACAGGTGATACTTCCATACAGACACAAGAGTCTCTGTGTGTAGCCTTGGCTGTCCTGGAACTCAATCTGTAGACCAGGCTGGCCTCAAACTCACAGAGATCCGTTTGCCTCTGCCGCTTGAGTGCTGGGACTAAAGGAATGTTCCACCATGCCCGGCTCCTTGGTTAATTCATAGAACTGCATTTTTTTTTTTTTTTCAGGCCATTCACATACTGTGGTAGGTATCATAATATAATTTGAAGTTGGTATAGTCCTATTAGTAGTTGGGAAATTCAGGTTCAGAGGGAATTAATTTGCTTTCATAGATTTTCACAACTGCTAGGGTGGTGTGTGTGTGTGTGTGTGTGTGTGTGTGTGTGTGTGTGTGTGTATGTATGTATATGTGTGTGTGGTATGACATGGTACACCTGTGGAGGTCAGACCATAACGTTTGTGAAGTTGGCAGGGATGAAATTCAGGCTTGTGCAGCAAGTACCTTTACACTCCTGAGCAATCTTGCTGGTCCTCCCATCTGCTTTTTAACTAGTTTACAGCTCTTCCATCGGTAAGAAGTGGCATAGTTCACCCTGTTTTCAATCACTGGAAAGTTACATGTGAATTTAAGAATTTGGGGTTTACTGGTTTTTGTCTTCTAAAGGAAGTATCACAACAATGTAAACCTTACAAGTTGCTTTCAATTCCAGTGCCATTTTTATGTTCATAAATGGAACATAAATGTTCGACTAGTTATTTATTTTTATTTTACATGTATGAGTGTTTTGCCTGCATCTGTGTCTGCCAGGAGCCCAGAAAAGCCAGAAGAGGGTGTAGGATTTGGATTTAAGATGGTTGTGAGCTGTGATGTGGGTGCTGAGAACTGGACCTGTGTAACAGCAGCAACTGTTCTAAAATACTGAGATATCTCCCAGCCCCTCTATAAGCTCTCCAAGAGCTCTTTTGGGTTTTTATTTACCATTGGGTGTTCTTTTCTTTTCTTTTTTTTTTCTTTCTTTTCTTTTTTTTTTTTTTGAGATATTTAAGTCTGTGTCTTCAACTATGAAAAAAAAGTATATCAGCCAGTAATTATTTAAATGTTAGAAGAAAATCTTTATTGTTTTTTATATTCTGTTTAATTAATACAAGTGTTCTTCAAATAAATGGTTTCTGCCACACCTAAAGCTGGCATGCTTTGTTATCTTGTCTATTGACTCTGAAATGGTTGTGTACCCTGAGATGAGGTTTCTCCTAATGTGAATCGCTATTAAACTGTGACAGGCACTGGAGATGGCCATGGCAATGGTTGCACAGTAATGAGGGGCACTCAGTGCTGCCAAAGTGTGGTCAAGAGTGGTTAAAGTTTCTGGGCGCCGTGGTGTGCGCCTGTAATCCCAGCCCTTAGGGAGGCAGAGGCAGGGGAATCTCTGTGAGTTTAAGGACAGTCTGGCCTACAGGATCAAGATAGCTGAGGTTACACAGGGAAACCCTATCTCCAAAAAAAAAAAAAAAAGTGGTTAAAGTGTTAAATTTTACATATTTATTTTTGGAGTATTATGATTTCTTATTTAATGGCAGGTTGTAGTTATGTAGCCAAGGCTGGCTATGAACTTGATCCTCTTGACTAATCCACCACCATGCCTTGCTTTGCCACAGTTTTTAAGAAAGTGTTATTCATTAGTTCAAAATGACAATTAACAATCAAATGTTTTTGAGAACTTTTTGTTACAGATAACTTTAACAAGGTATTGGGAGCACTTACTAGCATTATCTGCTCAAATTATATCTAGTGAGGTGGTTTCTCTGTGTAGCCCTGGCTGTCTTGGAACTCACTCTGTAGACCAGGCTGACCTTGAACTCAGAGATCTGCCTGCCTCTGCCTCTCTGAGGGCTGCCATCAAAGGTGTGTGCTGATTCGAATTAAAAATTTTTAACACTAAATTGAAGGAAAAAATAGAGTGGGGCATAGTGCAGCATAGCTTTGATCTCATCCCTCAGGCCATCTTTGAATCTGAGGACAGCAGCATGGTCACAGTGAGACCCTGCCTTGATAGATAGATAGATAGATAGATAGATAGATAGATAGATAGATAGATAGAT